GAAGCCCCGTCGTAACAGATGCAATTAACGTGAACGCGATTGCATCAGTCTTATGCCGCCATCAGTGGCACGTGAAACGATCACGATCGCGTAGTATTGATTGGAACAGGAACCGGTGCAAATGGTATACCCCAAAGCGGCTCTGAAAGTTGCAAAAATTTGCGGAGGTCCACCCACTGAGGGTAGCTTACCAGTCGACAACTGGTGCGAGTGACTTTAGACTTGAATTTTTTTTTCAAACTCGTTTGTTGCAAAACGACATTATGTTTTCAGGTAACGGATGGGAAGCTGTGTCACCTGTTTAATCGACCTTTGCCCTTTTTTCTTTCCCCTTTGCAGACTTCTGTAACGATGTCAGAACGGAATAGCGACGGGGGAAATACTAGATTTTGAGGAATTCAATTCAAGATTATTCAGTTCAAGAGGGCAGAGCAGAAGCGCAGCGCAAGAAGCTACTGTGATAGCTCAAAAGGGTCAAACTGAGAAAAATGACCGGAAACAATGTTTTTTGAGCTGAAGCAGTGTATCGCTTGGCCACGGTATTTTCTCATGTTCCCGTTCTGTGCCACGGCTCTTCTGTACTTGTATATGGTAGTAACTATTCAGGACCTCATTCCATTCAGTTGAAACCCGAAGTGGCTAGTTTTCAGTAGCCACGTTGGATTCTTCCTTTGCCCGCTAATATCCCTCGGGGCACAGAGGCATAGGAACTGCTTCTATGCCCTTGAAATATTTCCATTTTAGCTTGAGATATTTGAATATTCGAAAAGGGCACATCCTGCCGTTGGAGAAAAATCTTGCGAAATACGCCCTCCCCAGAAATTTTTTTGGTACGACCCCTTTTCCCCATGCCCCATCCTATCCTCCATCTTACTGAATCCTACTGATTTTGTTACCACTTTTGTTACCACCACAGTTTTTTTTCAGAAACTTAAAATCCTTTTCTTCCCAACGCACATAATTAGATAGGGATTTCAGTGGGGTCCGTACGACCCTCCCCCTTCCCCCTCCCCCCAAAAAAAGGGCTTGATACTACTCGCCCTTCTTGATACTCTCTCTTTTTTGGTCGACCACAGGGGTATACAGAACATGGTAAACCATGTGTAACAGAAAACACATCGAAAGTCAGCATTCTGCGCTTTTTTTTTTTTTTTTTTGAAATTTTTTCAATTACATAAATTCCTCTCCGAACGCAAATACGACCCCTCCCCCTGCCTCCCTAGCGTCCATGAAACAAGAAAAATCAACTATCAAAACAATTTTCTTAGACAAATACAACCCCTCTCGCTGTATAGGGGAATCCCCAACAGACTGATGTGCCTGTGTCTCCCTAAAAAAATGCCGTCGAGCCAGGGGGGGGGGGGTATGTTAGGCAACGCTTTGAGAAACGGCGAAAAATTGTTGAAAAATGGAAAAATTCAACAAACGGAGAATAGTTTTCTGAGGGGCGGATACAATGCCCTCCCCCCTTTTTCCCCCACCTAGCAGCCTAATACGACTCTTAGTGGGCATTCCCCAATGTAGGAACATGCCCTGGATTCGGAAACCATGCCATATTAAAGGCCACGGGACTATATAAGCGAAAACCCCTCAAGTAACTCGTCCGTAAAGAGGATGTACCAAAGGTAACGTAGGAAACTTCTCTAATAGGACCACTCCAGTCTCAGACAATTGTACGGATAAAAGGCAAAAGGCTACGTTTAAATCGCATTCAGTCGGTTCATTTCTTTTTCTTTTTTCATCGGGCCTATGACTCCACAGACACTATGCGAACATTCTCTTCCCTTTCATGACTTGTGCTTGGGTAGCATCTCTTTTGCCCTGGAAGCAGGCATCTGAAGGCAGAGTCTGGCAGGCGGAGTCATGAGAAAAGGTGTGTGTGTCCTCTGAGGCAACTTTGCGTCGTAACTCGTTTTATCCTCAACAACGTTTCCACGTCGCAAAACTTTGGCACAAGGTTGTCCACCACGAAACCGTGCTAGCCTTTCTCTCTCCAAACCTCCTCAATTAACCTTCTGGCATTTTCATAGGTCATCGCGGACCGTTCCTTTAAGAGGGTGCCCGAATAGCACAGTACAATTCATTCCTTGAAATTTGATCTAGAACTCGACTTTCTGCGCTGAGGCCACGTTATCAATAGTGTCCACATTATCGTTCATTCCTTTGAAGCATGGCGATAAAGTCATCTCTCTAGTATCGGGCTGGCGCTTCAACCCGTGGGATACAAAGTTCCCTTTTTGGTTTTGGCGTGATGACATTACACAACGACAACACACATCGTTCCATTTTAGTTATGCCCTCGAATGTCATCGTTTTTTCACATGAAACCCGTTCCGGCCACATCCCATTAGAGTGTAAGTATACAACGACTAAAAATGATGACTTTAATACCAGTTTATATGAACAACAACTACACAAACAAAAATTATCTACGGTAGTACTAAATGTTATACGTACTCGTATAGAGCTTTTCTGAATTCTAATCAAGGGCAACCACCCTACAATCTCATATACTGCATAACAAGTCTGAATCGAATCGATAATGCCAGTGCAGTACAATGTACATGAACATCGGGAGATCACATGATATGCGAAAAGCTGTTTTATCGGGTTTGGGTCGCGTTCGTGGATGCAAAACAAGAAACAACATCCGCATCTATCGTATTCCATTGATATTACCCAAGTTACCCGCTTGGCCAAGAAGGCCAAACACTCGAGATAATGCGGAAGCTCCGCCCAGTAAACGAATCCGCACATTCTACTTGTTCCACTTCCGAAGAAAGCTCGTTTTACCCTTTCAGGAAAAGCTGCGACTTAAAAAGATAACGTTGCCCAATGGTTGGAGCTTTTCATCATCTCGACTTTTCAGCTATTTTTGGACTCCAGTGATGTTACACTTTTACAAAAAAATCTCTATTTATAGACTTCCTGGCAGTTTCTCTCTGGAATATTTTCGAAAGACACCTAGGAAGAATTCCATATGAAAGCCTAGTGCGTTAGCCTAATTTATTTTCAACGAATAAATTTTAATCTGTGGCAGAGAAATGATGCCTATGTACACTGGAATAGCCGGACTGGATAGCCGCTTATCCAAGCAAGATCTTTCGCATCTTCATATTATTTGGCAAGTCATCGTCGGTGTCCGAAGAACTTTCCGATGAAACGTACGCTGGAGTGGCGGCCGAGCATTTCGGGGAGCTGAAAATGGTCAGTAATTAGCGTACTGCTTAACACGGAGGAGTAGGGTGAATTACAGAGTAAAGCAATTTTGATAGAACAAGGAACCAGGTATCTATCAAATCTGAAAGATCTAGAGTGACGGGAAATTCTAGGGTTCGCTAATACTTTGCGACCAATAGCGTCCACCAGCGTTCCGAGCTCCGGCAGCGTCAGCGACTAGGAATGTATAGATATCAATCTAGCGTCTGCCAGCATCTGCCAGCGTCTACCAGCGTCCACCAGCCAGCAGCAGAGTGCTGGTAGAGAGTATGGGGCGGCAGGAGGGTACCAGCAGTCTGCTACCTTCCTATCTCCCCACTCTCTACCAGCTGTCTGCTAACCTCCTACTGCGCCATATTCTCCGCTCCTGGGAGCTGCTAGACGCTGGCAAACGCTACACTGATACCTGCATTTCCCTAGCCCTGCTGGTGGACGCTGGTAGACGCTGGTGAACGCTGGCAGACGCTAGATCGATATCTATACTTTCCTAGTCGCTGACGCTGCCGGACGCTCGGAACGCTGGTGGACGCTATTGGTCGCTGGTGGACGCTGCCGCATAAAATGAACGTGACCCAATGAAACAGAAGTCAGTGCAGATAGATATTGGTCTGTTACGAACAAATAGACCCCAATGTGTAAGTTTGCGCCGGTTGGTGAAAAAGATGATGGCGCCGACGCTGAGAACGAATGCCGTATCCGTGAAGAGGGCACGGATCCACCTCTGTGGGCAAATTTCAGCATTATAGAAGTTTTTCTGAGTTTTTAGGGTAGATTAGCTCCGTAGAAGCACAGGGCGCAGAAGGAACGCAGCCTTTCTAACACTACGCCACATTTACAGTCCTCATCATTACGGACTGTCGGGGCGGCACAGCCGCGCTGCACTGTGACGCGACAGCGGCTGCGGCTCGGTGACGGTGAATCAGCTGATTTCGATGGAATTCGGCTGCAAATTCCCACTTTTTCAGCTCTTCAAGCTTCTAAAGTGGAAGGTGAGTTATCTGAACAATTTTGAATTGTACTGGCTCTGATTTCCTTTATTTTTATGTCGATTATTATGCTCTTTTCCTTGTATTTTGCCTTATTTCAGGCATTTATTCAAATGGCTTACATTCTTTCAGATTCATTCAGAGTCAGTACAATTTAAAATTGCTCAAAATAACTCACCTTCCACTTTCGAAGCTTGAAGAGTTGAAAAGTACTGTACTCTGCTCAACTAAGTTCTTCTAGGAAATACTGGTTTTTTGAAATCTGATAATGTAACTTGGTATTTACTCACCACAAGAATTGTAACAATGGTACCCGATACTTTCCACAGAAGTCGACAAACTTCACATGTTCAACGCATGCTTCGAAGTAGACCCCCTTGCATTTCGGATTCACACACTGATTCGCTGAGTTCAGATATGTGATGAGTTCCCTAAAATGGAAAATGATTTCAGTATACACTCGTCAGGCTGCCCTGAAATTTAGTATGAGCACAGATTTTGAAACCAACAGCCGCCGCTGACAACCTAGTCTGAGTAAAGGACTTCTGCACAGGCCACAATCGTTTCATTTGTAGAAGGTTGTGGATTAAGCAGTGGGATTGTGGAGTGGGATTGTGGAGGAACAATGACTTGGGAACACATTCCGCGACAATTGAATGGGTGGCGACCCGTAACCGCTGTGCCCTCTTCAGTGGTTTGCCCGTCATCCTTACCGTACTAGCAACGGGAGAGAGGTACGGTGAATCCCTGCCCATTTCGCTATCAGTCCAGGTTATTACGAGGTGTGGGCTTGAAGCCGCAAATCACTGTATGAGCCTATCTGGTGCTCAGATGCTTTTGGGGTTCAGAAGGAAAAGGAATGCATCGCGCAGCTCAGAAGGAGGTCTTCGTATGTTCCCACACGCGTGGCTTAGTGCAATTCGTGGGAATGAAGTAAGCTGCGATAAGCTGAAGCTCGAGCAGCTTGAGGCGCGAGCAGGAAGTTGCAATTTAAATCGTGCGAGTTGCAGAGAAGAGAAGAACAAGGTCAGTGATATCGAAACGACCAAGATTGATTAGTTCAAAGAACACTCCGAAAATGATTACATATAGTGCAAGAAATCACCTTGGTAGCACTTCTTTGACGGGAATCTTGGACATTTTCAATCGCACGATACGTCCAGCTAGTTCTTTCAGTTTTGGTGGCTCCAACTGCATATTGTGAACAAAGTGATGAACTGAAAAGGGAGTAA